GACGAGTTTGACTGCTTGCAGTTTCAGACAGGAAGGTGATGGCAGGCTGCTGGAAGGGGGACACCACCACCCCACCCCCCCCTCCCCTGCCACCAAATAAAGATTATTCCTTTTGATCCTTAGGGTTGAATTTTCTGAAGTGGACCGTAGGACCCAATTTACTGAATATTCAATAGCTAAAGTACTAAATCTGTCCCAAAGGCATTTAACAGAAAATGATGTCAAGTTACAGAGAAACCAAATTCAGTGGGGAAGGATGAGATTGTTGTGAATGTTTAAAAAAATCATGTGCTTAATTAAATCTTTCATTGTTTGCATAGGGAAATAGGTGATCACTGGCATCTAGCAATTCAAGAAGCAATCTTGGAGAAATGCAGTGATAATGATGGAATTGTTCATATTGCTGTTGACAAAAATTCACGTGAGGTGAGTCTTTCCAGTAACATCTTAATGCTTTGTTTATCCTTGTCTCTTGGACTTTAAAAAAAACCCCAAACCCTCTCTTTCTTAATGCAGGGTTGTGTATATGTCAAGTGTCTCTCCCCAGAGTATGCTGGAAAGGCTTTCAAGGCATTACATGGCTCTTGGTTTGATGGTAAGGAATGGGGGTTTATAACAAAACATGGGTAGAAGTGACAGAAGATGGGTGCAGTTGGAGTTCTTTTAAATGGTGAAATGTTTTATATCTAATGTATTGAGCTGTAACAAGAACTGGATCTTTTTAATAGTCATCACCTGGTAAACTAATTTCAGCGTAATGATGTGTTTGTGCGTATTACGTCCTGAAGCAAAATGTAGTAATGCTGAACTAGAAGGTTTCTCTTTTCCTATTTCTTTGCTTCATAGGAAAGCTGGTAACAGTAAAATACCTACGACTAGATCGGTATCATCATCGTTTTCCCCAGGCTCTTACTTGTAACACTCCACTGAAGCCATCAAACAAACACATGAACTCTATGTCACATCTGCGTCTTCGGACAGGCACATCTAATTCTCAGGGAAGTTCCTGAGAAGACTTTCTACAACTGCTAGGACTGTTACTTGCAACAGGAATTTTCCTGTTTGGCTGCCGTCTTCCTTTTTTAGTGCTTTTTGTATGTAATACTTTAATGAATTAAATAAAAGTTTGAACGTTCCAGAAATCTCGTTTCCAAAGGGACTTAGCAATGAGGCAGTAATACTGAGCTAACAAAAAAAGAAAAAGAAAAAAAATTGCTTCAGGAAGTTTTCTGGGGCTATAGTAAACCAATGCATTTAAGTTTTGCATGAGGAATACCGAATTCATTATACATTTGCAGATGTGGTGACTGTATTTTTGCACCAAGAAGTGTTTTTGGTAATACAAAAGCATGGAGAAAAGAAGACTTCCTGTATTTCCATAGTTTCCTGTGAAATAATCTTGTGGGTATTTTGTAACAACCAACCTACAGTTCCTGATGGTGAATAAGTTAAAAAAAATTCTTTTTCGGTCAATATTAGTTTTTTGTTGCTGTATAAGAATCTTTTTCTACAGCTTAGGGTATGGGGAAAGTTGATCTGGCATTAGTGGTTGCATATAAGTGAGGGGAAAACAAACGGAATGTGGATGTACTAGGTTTTGTATATAAATGTAAATGCTGGTGGTGGCAAAAACGGTTGTGTTCTGTGAGGATGTCTGCATTGAAGCAGTGAATAAGCTTCCTATTTTATTCAAAACCTAATGTTTTATATGGTTTTGGCTGTACCATGACAAGAGGCCAAATACCTTAAAGTGTTAGATACAGGTTAAATATCTTTTATAGGTTTTATATTAAAATACCTGACTATGATTTTGTGTGAAAGGTCTGATACCAATTGTAATGAATTCAGATTTGTGAGCAATAAAGAAGCAATTGGCAGATACTGGAAAAATATTTTGTGAAAAGCTGTATTTATTATTACAATGGCCAGGGCTGTGACAAAATACCATTGGGATTAAGTGACTTTCCCAATACATTATAACTTGTTTTAAAGAACCAGTTACCTGTTAAAATTTTTAAAGGTACATACTTCCTTGCAACAATTTTGGCTGATGCGACCTACAAGTACAGCTGAGAGTAAACCTTGTGATTCCAAGTACTAACATTTACCTAGAAGTACAAAATTGTTGCTGAGAAGCTTAGTTGCAAATCTAAGATTATTGGCTTTACTAATCCCCACTCCTACAACAATTTTATCTAATTATCCAGCTGAATATCCTGTAGGAGGTGAGACTGGAAGCACACCAGTCCCACAAATTTTACTGAAACTCACTTTACTTTGTAGATACGATGGATTTGCAGCATGAACTTGCACAAATAATGCACGTTTTTCTTATGGTTAAGTAAACATGATGCACACTATTCTGCAACAGAAAATCCTATTGTGCCTTACCTTTGTGCTTTTGTGGGCACCATGTTTATTATTGGAGAGTTTGTTAACCGAAAAATTTTAAATCCTCAGTTTTATGTCTCAGATGCTAATGAATGAGTATATATAATATATAATCAGCCATGCAGAATTCTACTTACCAAGGACAAGTACATATTTTTGATGGGTAAGTAGGTTGTGCCAGGTCTGGTAGATTTTGACGAGTTTTACTATATACATATATGTATATGTATAATATACATGTATATGTATTATATATATGTATATAAACTAATTTTGTTGTATTTGTGCATCATAGTGATTTGTTAACCTGACCTTAGTGACCCCATCTTGTGACCTGTTGCAAGAGTGAATGTAAAAATAGTTGTGGCATTTTAAAAGGTCGCCTCGATGCAAATGCATCTATCTTGCTTCTAAAATATATTTCTTGTAAACACTGTACATTTTATTATTGTAATATGTACTATTATGCAGCTTATTTTACTTCAAACTTTTAAGTTGACCAATATCCCTTCCTGCAAGACAGATGGGAATGTGTATAATACCTGAACATTTGAGAAAAATCAGATGTTTGTTGTAATTTGTCACCCTGTCCTGTAAAAACAAACAAAAAAACCAAAACAAACTCGAATTAAAGGTTTATTAGGGGTTTTTATACATGTCTCACCTTGTAGATATTTGGATGTCTGACTCAAATACTTTTTTCATCGGGGGGGTGGGGAGATTAATTCATCATAGCCACCTAACTTCTAATGGTTTTTAGGACTTGAAGCTGAACAGGTGCTACTGTGAGCAGAAATGCACAACTGAGCTTCACTTAAAATGTCTGTCAGCTTGAACTTGTCTGGATTTTGTACATGAGGAGGGCAGAGGCCTTACCTTGATTCCCAAGTCCAGGGCAGGCGACGTTGTCTGACCTGTTAAATGACAAGAGGTGAAGAGTCTTTGCCGAGTTATTTCAGCTTATTTGTTGTATTTTTGAAATAGAAAGTCCTCAAAAGCTTTTTTTTTTCTGTCACTGCATTTATATTATGCTGTTTTAAAATTGTTTTAGTAATGATTTGTATTGAAGGGTTGTAAGGTAGGAGGACCAAAGAAGGGTGTGTAAGTGCATTATTTACAGGCATTCGCCCAGCTCACTTTTAGCTCTTCCCTGTGGAAAGGGAGCAGGAGATTCGATGTAATTATGGTCGTGTCCCCCCCCCTTTTTTTTTTCTTTTTACGATAATGCCCACCTTGCCTAAGAGCTGTCTTAATTTCGCTGCCTGTGATAAAGGC